TAATAATTAACATAATTAGGAGGAGCTTCTTCCCCCAGGCCATCAGGCTCCTAAACTCAAACTCAGTCTCTTAACACCAACATGACTTCACTTAATTATCATTAAGACACTTAATATACTGACATTGCCACTTGCACACAGCAATTTATGTAATAATTTATTTATTTACGTTTTTACCTCTATTGCTGCTATGTAACTACCCTGTACAACCTGTTTGCACATTCTTCTCTTGTATATTCCTGCTCATCTTAATATTTATTAAGTCTACAGTATACTGTCCTGCGCATTTTATTTTATTCTTAATTTTTTTTATCTTACTTTTTCCATACCTATATTTATATATAATTTTCTTGTGTTTGTATTCTTTAATAATTGCACTGTCCATGGAGCGGACCTGACTTACATTTCACTGCTGGTCATATATTCTCCATGTATGTGATAAATTAAAAATCTTGAATCTTGAATATATATTTATACATAGTGTCTAGCGCGCTATCCCACTAAGTGCTTGATTATAATTTTAGTTTTTCAAATGACACAAGCTCAGCTCTTCACATCAGATTTATATTTAAACGCATGATAGACTCTGTGAAAAGAACAGGCTGGGTGATGAGTCTGGACTGGACAGCATCTGAGGGCAGGAATGTGCAGTCAGTCATTCGCAAGTGCGTGGCCCAAAACACCTGTGTCACCTTGATGCTACAGGACTCTCCATCAACACCAATCAGCAACAGGGTGCAGGGGAGGAGGAGGCTTTGAGCGGCACTCCCTCTCTCTTTCCTCTCTCACTCACTCTCTCTCTCCGCCGGGGCTGGAGGAAGGGATCAATGCCGTGAATGGTCCTCCTCTTCTTGCTCACTACTCTCATTATTATTTTCCACCCTGCCACTCGCCAGTCCATGAATAGTCAATACCAAACCAACAGGCAGGAAATGAAGGAGCAGATGCTTATTTCAATGCCTGGAGTGAGTTTTATTTATCGAGAACTGGTTCCAAGAGACGGACTTTGTTCGCTGCTGAGGATTATGGAAACTTTCTTTTTCTCTATTTGAAGACTGATGGATTCTCTTTTTGGACTTACTATGCTTGTCCACAATGATGAAGTCACTTGTTTAATATTGTGGTTGTAAAATTTCACCTTTTTTGAAGGCTGTTAGTTTCAGGTGATATAAAAAAAAAGAAGAAAAAAAAAGACATCCATCTTTTCACACTGGGAGCAGTTTGCAGACGAACCTGTGTGGAGGGAAGCACATGGTCGACTAAGTGAGTTTTTTTCTCGTCAGGTCATCCCAGCAGTCTTTTTTGAGTGCTTCAGAGAGAGCCGCACACACTGGAATAGCTGGGAGAATGTTTCTGTGGGCTGGAAGCAAAGGAGCTCAAGGATCAGGAAGTGAGAGAAGGTAAAGTACAATGACTCAACTAACTAACTAACTAACTGAACCACCTGTGACAGCACTATGCTAAACTATAATTTTCTAGGATCTCTGTAAGGAGGTTGTTTGATTTCATGTTGATTCATGTCTTCAGTCTGTGAAGATTTCATTCTGAAGTACAGAGGGATAATATGGTAATAAACATAATTGTAAAAAATAGGGTTACACTTTATTTTAAGGTGTCCTTGTTACAGTGTAATTATTATACATTTAAGTACTGAGTAATATTAATTAACTACATGTACTTACTATATGGTTAGGGTTAGGATTTGGCTTATGGTTACTTGCATGTAATTATGAATAATTTATTGTTATTATAATAGTAAGTGCATGCAACATGATGTGAAAAAATGAATAAAAAATACAGCTAACTAACAAACACAAAAACATGATTAACAATAAAAAAAACATGATTTTCGAAAAAAAAAATCTGTTTTTGCAAATAAACTTTTCATATATATACACATACACACTTTATTTTTTTCTTTCAAATGCTCAGCAAGGCTGATTTTTTTAATCTGAAAAGAACAGGCTGGGTGATGAGTCTGGACTGGACAGCATCTGAGGGCAGGAATGTGCAGTCAGTCATTCGCAAGTGCGTGGCCCAAAACACCTGTGTCACCTTGATGCTACAGGACTCTCCATCAACACCAATCAGCAACAGGGTGCAGGGGAGGAGGAGGCTTTGAGCGGCACTCCCTCTCTCTTTCCTCTCTCACTCACTCTCTCTCTCCGCCGGGGCTGGAGGAAGGGATCAATGCCGTGAATGGTCCTCCTCTTCTTGCTCACTACTCTCATTATTATTTTCCACCCTGCCACTCGCCAGTCCATGAATAGTCAATACCAAACCAACAGGCAGGAAATGAAGGAGCAGATGCTTATTTCAATGCCTGGAGTGAGTTTTATTTATCGAGAACTGGTTCCAAGAGACGGACTTTGTTCGCTGCTGAGGATTATGGAAACTTTCTTTTTCTCTATTTGAAGACTGATGGATTCTCTTTTTGGACTTACTATGCTTGTCCACAATGATGAAGTCACTTGTTTAATATTGTGGTTGTAAAATTTCACCTTTTTTGAAGGCTGTTAGTTTCAGGTGATATAAAAAAAAAGAAGAAAAAAAAAGACATCCATCTTTTCACACTGGGAGCAGTTTGCAGACGAACCTGTGTGGAGGGAAGCACATGGTCGACTAAGTGAGTTTTTTTCTCGTCAGGTCATCCCAGCAGTCTTTTTTGAGTGCTTCAGAGAGAGCCGCACACACTGGAATAGCTGGGAGAATGTTTCTGTGGGCTGGAAGCAAAGGAGCTCAAGGATCAGGAAGTGAGAGAAGGTAAAGTACAATGACTCAACTAACTAACTAACTAACTGAACCACCTGTGACAGCACTATGCTAAACTATAATTTTCTAGGATCTCTGTAAGGAGGTTGTTTGATTTCATGTTGATTCATGTCTTCAGTCTGTGAAGATTTCATTCTGAAGTACAGAGGGATAATATGGTAATAAACATAATTGTAAAAAATAGGGTTACACTTTATTTTAAGGTGTCCTTGTTACAGTGTAATTATTATACATTTAAGTACTGAGTAATATTAATTAACTACATGTACTTACTATATGGTTAGGGTTAGGATTTGGCTTATGGTTACTTGCATGTAATTATGAATAATTTATTGTTATTATAATAGTAAGTGCATGCAACATGATGTGTAACAAGGACACCTTAAAGTGTTATCAAAAATAGTTATAAATTGAAAATCTAATTATAAAATATAAATATTATAAAAATATAAATATATAATAAAAATAAAAATACATTTATTTATTAAAAAATTGACCATTAAATAATTTTGTTACAGTCGATAACCAACAAATGACTAATTTCTCTAAATAAATGAAAAATAACACAACAAAAACTAAAATCATTTGTTTAAAAGTGAAACTTGTACAAACTATAATTTGATATTCACTTTGAGATTTAACAGTGTTATTATGAGTGCATTTAAAAACGAGCTTTAAGAGAATATAAAATAACACAACAAAAACTAAAATCATTTGTTTAAAAGTGAAACTTGTACAGAATAAATGATATTCACTTTGAGATTTAACAGTGTTATTATGAGTGCATTTAAAAACGAGCTTTAAGAGAATACTGAATGGCTCAAAAGTAATGAAAAAATATAGGAAATTAACATGTATGAATGAAATATATAAAAGTGACAATGCATTTACAACTATTTTTAATTTTATTTCAAAATGAAGGCTTGAATCAGCCAACATTTGCATCCCTAGAAAATATGCAGCTTATTCTAAATAAAAATTACTCTCATCATTCTAGAACTGATGCATCACAGATTATTTAATGCACGGAAATTCACTCACTATTATTAGCAGTTTTAAGTATAACTGCTGTTTTACACTGATTTAGCAGTATCAGAGAATGTCATTTTAATGATCAAACTAATCTTGGATTCTGATGTAAACTAATCACAGGAAGTGGGTTGTGAGTTTGTAATGCTTTTGACCACTGTACTCACAGTAATTATCAAAAGGTCACTGATAAAGATAGACAGGTTAGTCAGCTTGCATTCACACCCATGCATAATCTTCAAAAGCAATATGACCTGCTGTCAAAAAAATGATTAAAGAATCATGAGCTAAATATTTGGAAAGGAACTAACTATGCATATATAATAGGACAGCAGCAGCTATCTGTATGTCATTGGAGTTCTGAACTAAACCTAATTCTTTGCCTCAAACATTTTTTTATGTGATCAGGACTGGTGAAATGATTCTTGAAGCAATATTTTGTTATATTAGGTTTGGCATACACCATGCCTTCATTAATCTACTCCCCCCTCCCCTTTTGTGTGGCTTGTGACTTATGGAACTCAAGCAGGACCTTTTATCAGAAGATTCGGGAGTATGATATTTTGGAGAAGAGGAGGACGGTCACCGCGCTGAAGGCTGGAGAGGACAGAGCCATTCTCTTAGGCCTCAGCATGATCCTTTTCTCTGCCATGATGTACTTTGTGTTAGGCATCACAATGGTGCGCTCGTACTCAGACAGGTAAAGATGCCCAGAAACCTTCTCAAGAACAGAACTGCACAAAATACACTGAAACCACAGAATTAAAGGGGCATTCAGTAAGTTCTCCCCATTCAAATGCTGAACTGAATAGTAAGACAGACACAAAGAGGAGAAAATACTGTAGCAGGCAGAGCAAACTCACTGTTGTTCACGAAGCACGAAATATTGGAAGAAAGTCCTAAATACTAAATTGTGGGTGGGAGTTTATATGAGGGGAACTGACTTATGCATATTTATGTAGTGTTTAAAAGTGCTGCTTTGTTTACAACGGTAACCAATGAAATACTACAGAGAGTCTGTCAGAGAGTCACAATCAGTCCATCTGCGTTTTTTGTTTCATGCAGATATATTTTATGTAGTATAATTTCGCAAAGCTTAAGTCAGACCATTCTGTTTTTGCTTTAAATTTTGAAATGATACTAATCTAATTTACATCAAAAACTGCTCATGCTACATGTAACATGTTTGTTTTGGATTGTGATTAAAATGCAGTGGTTCTGCAACTGTCTCATGCATTCTGATTCATACAAAAGCGCACTCAGCGAAAAACCATGATAAACCATGAAACCGCCAGAATCGTAAAAAATAAATAAATAAATAAAATTAAAAAAACCTTGATACAGATTTTTTTGGTCAAACCATCCAGAACTACAGAGTACCTTTAAGTAACCTCTAAATTGAAGAAACAAATATGCATATGCTAATGTATTCTGGGGTGGAACGGTTCGCGTAAAAAAATCGAACCGTACGGTTCTCCACACACGGTTCGGCACACGCTAGGACTGCGGTTCAACTTAAATCTGACAACGCATCTGTAATATGGTTTGCTATAAATAACATGTAAAACAAACAGGGTTCGGCTAATATATGTTTCGGTTGATGGATGCGCATTCTGGCTTCCCAATACATTACACCAACAGCGATGAAAAAAAAACATTCACTCTTGTTCAATGCGACTGCCGTATGCTGGAATATGAGCAAACAAAGAAATCACTCACTGCTCTTGATTGAATAGCTTTTGTAAATTTAATAAAGATTAATCTTTAATTTATACAGTCAAATATGCAATGCTGTTTTACATTTCATTACTTTATTCAATTTCTGTACCTAAAAACTAATGTTAGACCTACCTAAAAAACCCTGAAAATCACTGTTTATTTTATTTGTATCTTTACTCTATTGTATTTATTTGTGCTGTTGCTTGTAGTTAGATAGATTATTCTTATTTTCTTTATTTTTATTTGACAGTATAATTTTTGCCTAAACATAGCACATACCGAACCGCACCGAAACCGTGACTCTAAAACCGTGATACAAACCAAACCGTGAGTAAGTTGAACCGTTCCACCCCTAATGTATTCATATTTAATTTTCATCCCAGATGTTTGTAATTTCTGCTATAGATCCTTTTCACATTTCTAAATTTGGAAAGCAGAAGTAAACAAAACTTCTATAGAGCAAATATTATTTTTGCATTATAATTCGCTCAAACTGCAAAATAAAATAAAAAATACAATTAAAATATTTTAAAAAAGCAAAATCATTTCTGCATTTCAGAATAGATAGATAGATAGATAGATAGATAGATAGATAGATAGATAGATAGATAGATAGATGCACTACGGCAGTCAGAGAAGAAGATATCACATTAACAGTTGCTCCCTGCAGTTACAAAAACTTTTTTTTTGCTACATTTATGTTAATTTCTGTGTAAATGCTTCAGCACAGTCTGTGAAGATTTCATTCTGAACAGAACTGCATTTTTCATATTGTTCTCCTCATTTGCTTATGAAATGCCCCTAATATGATCACTCATTATATTGTCCACAATGTACCAAACATTTGCCGATTCCATTCCCTTTTGACCATAACACACAGATTAGCGAACATTACAACATAGGAGCCGAATTGAGTTCTGTAGAGCTCTTCCAAATACCACTGACCCACCACAGATTTCACACAGATAAGAGCTAGCATACACTGTAGTCAAAGGCAATTAAAGAGGCAGCTGAGCCTTTGGAATAGCCAAAGAACACAAGGTCTGTTATTCATAGAGTGTCTGTTATTCATAGAGTAGGAGAAAGAGGCCTGGCACAAAGACAAACACTAACATGTAATCGGCCGCCACAACAGAGGGCCAAATCACCATTGTGTACCCTAGTGAATATGGAGGGTGACCCTGATGTACAAATATTGTACTAATATTTGATATATTATGAATATTTTGTACTGATGTACAAATATTGTGCTAAAAATAAAAGCAGCTTTGATTATATAATTTGTTGCAAGTTGCAACGGGATGGCTATAATGGGCTGTTAATATTAGCAAAATATTTAAGACTTTAATTAGCTGTCAATTTTGTAGGCTTCTGTTTCTCGGCGGTTTTTGGTGTTTATCCATTATCTCAGCAAATGACCTGTTTATATCTAAGAAAAATTTGCATAAGCAATAAAATGCTTATAGAAACAATGACCAAAGATTAAATCTAGCTGAGTGTTAAGAGCTCAAAGTTGAGGTGTAAATTTCTTGAAGAGTATAAAGTTCAAGCTCACCTATAGTCAAAGGGAAAATAAGTCTTTGGGTGGAAAGGGGCAAATTCAATGAGGATGCCAGCACCAAACTAGGATTTCCGCACATAACTGAGTTTGGTGTCACTGCATTGCACACATACAAACAACCTTAAGCAGGGTGGAAAATGAAGCCAAGGGCGGGCACTCGCAATCTGCAAAATATTAAATTACAGTTATAGTAAAATACACATTAAATTAAAATTTACTTCTGTAAAAAAGACTTGATTTCATTCCTTAAGAACTGATTGAAATAATAAAAAGTGGTCTTTATATGACATAGGCTAGAGGGGAGAGGTATAAATAGTGAGAGGAACTGACGATGTCAGCGGAAAAGGAAAGTTGTTTTAGACGTGGAGCAAATTTCATAAAATAAGGTTGTTATTACATTGTTTTTTGGAATAATGTGAATTAAAAAGTAAATATTGCCAACTGTGAGTTTATGCTCACTTTACCTCCAATATGCCTTTCAACAGCATGCAAGAACTCAGCAAGTAATTTGACTT